TGGACTATGGGACATAAAATGATACTTGTGAAGAGTGTGCTTCTTAGCTCAAGTAGATACATGAGACTAAATGGGCAGCTTCTGTCCAGAGGTGAGATGAGAAGGCAGAGAGGGTCAGGAGCTGGTTGAATGGACACAGGAAATCAGGGGTGGAAAGGAGGAGTCTACTGTCACAGTAAAGGGAGAGCAGTTAGGGTCACATAACAATGTATGTATAAATTTTTGTATGAGAAACTAATTTGAATTGTAAACTTTCACTTAAACTACAACAATAAAAAAAAAAGATAATGGTAGGATAATGTGGAAAAGGATAGTGAGAATGGTAGCCCAACTTGAAGAATGTAACCAATGTCACTGAACTGTAATGCAGAAATTGTTGAAAGGGGTATCTTTGGCTGTGTATACTTCCACCAAAATAAAAACGTATTTTAAAAAATAGATGGAGAAATGGATAACAGAAAGAGAGTTTTCAAATGGGGTTCCCTGGAATTCTTGGGGAATCTGAAGTAATCCCTCCAGGGGTCCTGGGCTCTGTGTGAGGAGAGTATATCTGAGCTGGCTTCAGGAAGAGGCACATCTGCTTTTGTACTGGGTTTCATGTAAGATGTTGTTGGAATGAAAATGTTCTACAGTTAAAGGAAAAAAATTGGAAACCACTGTATATAGAATTGGAGCCCCTCCCAGAAAGTTTGGGACAGAATTCTCTCTTCAGCTCTAAAGCGAGAGTAATATTCTTAATCAACATCTGCATTAGAGTAAACCAAAAAAACCCAAACCCGTTGCCATCGAGTCGATTCTGACTCATAGTGACCCTACAGGACAGAGCTGAAATGCCCCATAGGGTTTCCAAGGAGCGCCTGGTGGATTCGAACTGCCAACCTTTTGGTTAGCAGCCGTAGCTCTTACCTACTACACCACCAGGGTTTCCATTAGAGTAAGAAGTAATCATAAAATGATGACAAATCGAGGCACAGCAAGGAAGAGGGTGAAAATGGATGATAATGGTTATGATGATGGAAATGTATGGGAGTGACAATTCCATGTGACCATGCCCTCTCCGAAATGCCTGAAACTGAGATCAGCCATTCCCACAGAGGGACTCTGGCTGTCAAACTTGGGTCGGGCTCGCACCAAAGCAGAAGGGACGAGGGTGAGGATCTGCTAGATCAGTGGCTCACAAGAGCAGCTTTCTTTGTGCAGAGGGAGCTCTGAGGACAGGTAGCCTCTGTTATGCCAATTTCCCCTTCACCCTTCTCATAGGAGAGTTGTAGGAAAATTCACAACATATTGTGGCAAATGGGCTAGCATGGCCTAAACAGTCCCTGAGGTGTGCTGATCACTCAACCACCCAGGTTTTCGCTACTCCCTGCTCCAGGAAACTTCAACTAATATGAAAACCCAGGTGCCAGAAAGTTTCCTGGTGGCTGATGTGTCATCCTTCCAGGTATTTACTTCAGTCCTGCTCGGTAAGGAGTCCCTGGATGATGCAAATGGTTAAGGGCTGGGTTACTAACTGAAAGGGTGGCAATTTGAACCCATGCAGAGGCACCTCAGAAGAAAATCCTGGTGATCTACTTTTGAAAGATTACAGCCACTGAAAACCCTATGGAGCGCAGTTCTACTCTGCAACACACGGGGTTGCCATGAGTTGCAAATGACTGAACAAACAACTGATTTGGTTTTGGTTTTCTTGCTTTGCAAAAACACATACTGTGGATACTGAGGTCTACCCATGAAGGATGATGATGACGATGATGACATTGATGATGATGGGAGCAGCTAAAACGTGTTGAATGCTACGTGGAAGGCACTGGGCTGAACTCCTTATGCACGTGACCTCACTTAAACTTCACAACAGCCTTATGAGGTAGAATGATTATGGCTTCCATTTAACACATGATCTGACTATGCACACCCCAACAAGGGCAAGTAACTTGACCAAGGGCTCAGAGCTACTACCACCACAGTGGGACTTACCTAGGAAGTATGGAGTTGGGAGGCCTGGATTTTGCAGGGGATGCAACTTTAGATTCTGGCCCAGAGTTCCCTGAAGATCCAGGAAGAGACTCCTGTGCTGGCCCCGACTGGCATGGAAGTATTTCCCTTGCTGAAGTCAGGAGATGCTCTTTATCTTTAACTTCTTTTTCCCGGGACTTGGCTTTGTGTTCCGCCAGAAGGAGGTCAAATTGCTTTTTCCGGCCTGGGACTGCCCTCCGATGGCTTAGCGAGTGTGTCTAAGGAGAAGAGAGATGAAAAGCACAGCCTCTTTGATCAGCACATAAACCTGCTTCCCCAGGCCCTCGATCTCAGAAACAGCAATTCATGGGCATTTAGAGGTGCTTGACAAGTCAGTTAACTTCAGGCATCAGCTCCTGTGCTGTGGCTCCGAAGAGGCAGTGACCACACAAACACAACCATGCCCTACGCTCCTGGCATTAAGAAGCCAAAGCTTCCTCCAGAAATTGGCACAAGATGACGAGCTTCAGCGCAGAACCCATCAAAGCCTCTCTGATGAAAGGCAGCCGCGGGGATGCTAGAGTTAATCCAGGTGCAGGCTGGAGGCTGGATGTGGCCCAGACAAACAGAGCCACCAAGCAGAGAGGGCCACAGCCTGATCCCAAGAAGCACTAGCAGTTCAATATGATATGGGGCTGGGGCTACCCAATGGCGGCTGCCTGGGGTCCGCTGTTCCCCGGCCACCCTGTGTGGCTGGATCAGGGGCGCGGCATATCATCCTCCCCTCCTTCCAGGGCGCCGCCGCTGCCGCTGCCGCCGCCGCCGCTCCTGCATACATTAAACTGTAGCAGGGTTTAGAACCGCCTGTGAGTGCCTATAAATACAATTTACTGTCTGGCCTCACAAGTAACAGGGGAAGCCTATTTTTTTTTTCCTTCTTAAAAAGCCAGCCAGCTTGAGGCAGGCACTCTGCTGTCATGGAAGAGAAGAAAGCATTTCCCTTACAAAGAACAGCTGGGAGTCATGTCGAGGTTCCACACCCTGCCATGTGCAGAGAGTGGCATGCAAACATTTCGACAAAGGCCCCAGCGAGAGCAGGAAGTATTTTTTATGGAAAGAGAAATACCTTGCAGGTGAGGGATCTTGTGCAAGGTTTCTTTGTCTCGGGATCCAATACTCCACAGTGTTTATTTGGGTCAAATTCTCTCTCTGGTTTAAGAAACAAACAAAAAATATAAGAAAGAAGGAGACTAAATAGGATTTGGCATTAAGACTACATTTAAAAAAAAAATGCACATTTGCACCAACAAGTGAGACATTGTTAGGCAATCTGTTTTTTTTTTTTTTTTCTTTTTCCAACCGGCTGCTAAACTGCTTCAAGAACCGCTCAGAGGAAAATGGCATTCCCCTGTGAACCCACAGTCCCCAAGTCCAGCAGAGATGCAGAATGCAGCACTGAGCACAGGGGCTGGGGTGGGGGCGAGCACAGAGGGAAGGAGCATGCTGCTGCTGTGACAGTTTATTTTATTTGAAATGGTTTCACAGGTAGTTGGCACTTTGGGCAAAGCTGGCTGCAGCTCAGGAAGAGCTACCTGAGGCTGGAGGGCCACTTTTTCCAGAGCTGCTCCGGGAGTACGTCCATCCCCGCCCTGCCTTCCTGCTAGTTTTGGCCACTTAAACAGGAGATTGTTCCTTGACATGCCAGTGTGACCTGCCTCCCTCAAGCTTTGCAAAGTCCTCAGCACAAGGCTTTCCACGCAGGCTCACTGCCCAGAAAACTGTTTACCTGACTCAGGGACATTTTGGTGGTGTCACAGCGGGGGCAGGGGAAAGTTTGGGCGTGTTTTTTATGTGCATCTGACGTTGAAGGTGCAGAAAGAACCAAAAAACCCAAACTCATTGCCATTGAGTCTATTCCAACTCATGGCAACCCTATGTGTTACAGAGTAGAACTGCTCCACAGAGTGTTCTTGGCTTTCAGGCCTTTCTTCCACAACACTGCTGGGTGGGTTCAAGCCGCCAACCTTTAGGTTAGTAGTTGAGAGCAAACTGCAGAAAGGACAAGGCCTGCTAATCTCACAGCTCGCTCTGCCCCCAGTCCTGGGCCTGACACTCCAAATGAGGCTCAGACAGGGTGGTCGTGCCCTTGGGATGAATGATGGCCATGTAGGGAGGCCAGGCTTTCCCAAGCTCCTGCCTTCCAACTGGATTGTCAGTGGCTCGTGCTGAGGTTACTTCTAAGGAATCTGTTCTTTTTCTGCCCACTGTGGATCCTTCACACCTCCTGGGATTACAAAAGTGCCCTCTTCACCTGGAAAATGAGGGGATGTGAAGGGATCTCTAAATAACCTTTGAAGCTTTAAAGCTCCCCCTCTCAGCTGGCCTGTGCCCTCTCTGGAAGGCACCCAACAAACACCTGAACTACTGACAAGCTCTTCTGGGCAGGCTGGAAGACTGGTAGTGGTGTTGGTGGGTGGGGGTCTATGGAAACTTGGTGGAATGTCATCAAGAGACTGAATGGCTATAAATTAAAAAGAGGATACCTAGCCTGAAAAATTGTCTGAAATGGATGGAGTAAACTCTGAATAAAATAAATAACGAGTTCTATTTGTAAAAACAAAAAAATTTGGGGTCATGGGGTTGTTGTGGTGATGATATATGCAATAAAATTATTCTTATATCCAAGACAGATCCCCTAGCTGCCTATCAAAATGCCCCCTCCCTGTTTTTACTTTCGTCCTCTTTGTTTAGCTTCACTTTTAATAAAAAACTGCTAGGCTTGGAGATGCCCTTTTCTATAAGCCCTCCCTGCCCACCAAGAAGTGAAGGTGCCAGGTGCCAGGCCCTAGGCTGTCTGGCACGGATTTCTCTTCCTTGCATCTGTCTGTCAAAGTCAGACCCATGCCCAGCACCTCATGTTGGCCTGGAATGGAGCAGGTTGTTTGGCTGGGGCTAGGAGCTGGCTGCCCACGTGAAAGCAAGGTAGAAACAAGCAAAAGACCCGACAAAACCACCAAACACAACGCAAAAACAACAGACAGCAGCCCCCCAAACAACTGCAGGTTAGGGTGCAGGCTGGACACTATGGTCATGCTTCTGCCATGACAAGGAACCAAGGGCGCTGGACACTGTGCCCAGACCTAACAGTCTTCCAGGGAGGATGACACCCACCTCTGCGGAGTGAAATCTAACTTTCCATTCAGGAAAAAGCCAGGTGCCACCTCACTCAAAGGGAAGACCAGACTCTACCTTTTTATCTTGATGGTGTGTGAATAGTGTTGTTGTGTGCTGTCGAGTTGATTCCGACTCATAGGGACTCTATAGGACAGAGTAGAACTGCTCCATAGGGTTTCCTAGGCTGTAATCTTTACCAAAGCAGATCATCAGGTCTTTTCTCCCATGGAGTTAGCTGGTGGGTTTGAACCACCGACCTTTTGGTTAACAGTTGAATGCTTAACCATTGCACCACCAAGGCTCCAAAACCCGTTTCATTTGAATGCATTGGGCCTGAGGTACTTTGAAGAAATTATTTTATATTTTTTTTCTTTTAAGTTACAGATGTAAGACGTGTTCATTTTAGGAAAACTAGAAATACAGATAAATATAACATAGAAAGTAAAAACTGCCCAAAATTCTCGGGGTGCTTAAAAATTATGCTTACACCAGAGGATATAGTTAGCCTTTCTTTTTTTTTTTTTTCGTGGCCACCATTAGATAAATACCCACAGTGTGTGAAGAAGTTATGAAGTTTACAGCCTTTTTTAGTCTTTTGGAGAAAGCAGAGCTCCCAGATTTAGTTCTACAGCAAAGCCTAAGCAAACACCATCCACATGGGGACCCTCTGACAAGGGAGTCATCATTCCTTGAAATAGTTATATGCTACCTTTCTGGGCACCCTAAGTGCCTGCTCTGACAACCAAAGAGCAGACCTGAAAGAGATCCACCACCTGCTGTGCTGGCCTGAGCATTCCCAAATAGGAATTCCAGCCTGATTTTGTGGGAAAGGTGGTATTAGTCCCAGACCCTAGAATCAACCTGGAAACCAATGAGGCCAAAGGGCAGAGGCCGCGTATTCCTATGGAGCACAGCCTGCCGTGAGCTATTGTGTCATATCGCTGTGCATTTTCCATATCACAGCAGAACGGTCTATGGAAGCCAGGGCAGTTCAGCCTGTCAGCCTGACACTGCTGTACAGAACCACACTGCTGACAAAAACCATGGACTGTTATGGTCGATTCAGAGTATCCTGCCTCCTGGTCCCCACAGTAACTCCTGTGAAGCAATGAACCGAGCAACAGACCTCATCTGCCTGGAAAAAAGAGAACCAGTTCTCCCTCGCATTTTTTTTTTTTGGTTGGGGGGAGTTCCGTTTGCAGGTCAACTCCACGTGCCCTTTAAAATGAAACAGACCCGCTTAATTACAAGACTACATCACTCCTTGGTTATGAATGATTCGACTTCAATCTAGTCATAACCCAGACTCTAAGGACATGGACACGTACCTGAAAGTCTCCTGTAAGGCTTGTTGCTGCTTTTGGTGCCATTTTGTTGTTTCTTGTCTATTGTGGCTGACAGAATTCCTTTGCCATTTAAGATTTTCTCTGGTGAAGGTGGCACTTGCTTGGACATCAAAACCGGCTTAAATAAAGGTGGGGAGGAGACAGCAGAGGACGAGGTGGAGGACGACGTGACTGCAGTAGTGGTTGCCGAGTTCATTTTGACATTGGCACCATCTGCCTTCACTAGGTTAGGAATTTTCTCTAAACTGACTACAGGAACCGGAATGCTGAAAAACAAATGAACAAACACACACAATTGCCTTCTTTGATACATCTGGTCCATGGAGAATCTCTCCTGGCTTATCATTATCAGAGCACTTCCTTATCACTTATTTATATGACTGCTATAAGCTAGCAGCGTGAGTCCAGTTTTGCTGGGAGACTCATGCCTAGGAAAGGACCAGCAGGGGGTATGAGGCTGGCACGGTGCCAGGGACAGCATCAGCACTATGTCCCCATAGAACCTACAACTCCCTCCTCTCAGTCCTTATATGTCAGCTGTCTTGAAACAGCACCTTGGGCAGGACAAGATACCCACTGTGAAAGAAGAAGAAATGCTTGTTCCCTGAGTTCAGGGTGCCACTTGCTGAATCACTTCTCCTCCCCCCAGTCTTCAGCCAGTCTCCCACCCCAGCCCGATCGGGTCTGACATCTGCTTAGCTCAGGAGTGCTGACAGATAACGCCATGCCAAGGTGAGGCTTTGGGCCAGTGTGCCACACGACATGCTGTTGGAGGGCTTCTGGATGACTCTCCTATCCTAGGGATGGGCTCAAATTGAGTGAGCTGCCATGTAACATTATCTAATATTCCATTTTAGGCAGCTAGTTATGTAAATAGGCAGTTCTCAAGGCTGGAGGTGAGAGGATGAATCTTAAGAAGACAGCACACAGGTGCACTTTCACTCTCAGAATCTGTCACCTTAGCCCCACTTCCCTGCTATTTCTCCTGCAATGGATGTGCATTTGATTTCTGTGCTTCTGTAATGCAGAAGGACCCTGTGTCTGTGGGACTATGGAGTATTCTGTCTCCGGGTCTTGAAAGATAAGAAAAATAAGCTTTGCTCTGGTCCCTGAACTAGATTCCTTTTCCTCCTTGCAGGAGGGTAGAATGCTAACTCGCCAGCCCCCCAATCATCTTTGAGCTGAGAGTGGTGCCTACTTAGCTATCTGAATGCCAAATGATCTAGAATCTGGCTTTGACATGCCTGCAGACAATGTAGCGCATGAAAGAGAGGCTGTTTTTGGCAAGGGAGGAATCTTATCTGTCCACGTGGCTGGTTGGCTTTCCCTTCTCTAAAGATTCACAGATCATTTCTTTGACCAACTTGTTCATGAAATTATTTTAGCAATCCCTCAGGTTCTGCCCCTTTTCTGACTTTGAAACAGGATCACAGATGTTATTTACAGATCTGTGCCAATGAGAAGGGCACACAGCAGCGGACCAGACTGCTGCCAGACATCATGAACATTGCCAGACGTCACCTAGGACCATATGCTTTCTTGGCCCCAGGAAGGGTGGTGTGGCTTCGTGTCCCATGTGAAGGGAAACTGGAAGCGTGGTTTTTAGTAATAACCCAAATCATTGCCAACTCCGCCTTGATCGGAGTGTCTGAGATACAGCTAAACTGCGGTGACTTTCTGTTTAATGGCAATTTTCAAAGCATTCACATACTGCTGAAGACTAGTACAAGAAGCCCTTTAAGAGAGCACAAGAAGAACCCATAATAGATGCTGCTTGGTGAAATTAGTTCTGCATTCCTATTTTTTTCTAAATGGTAAAAAATGCAGAACCCTGTGCTAGAGAGTTCTCCTAGGGTCATTCCCTTACTTGTTTTTAAAGAAACACAAACTACAAAACTCATTTACTTGTATACTTAAAATGGTGAATTTTATTGTATGTAAATTATATCTCAATAAACCTGGTTTAAAAAATACATATTATAAGAGCCTGTTCAAGAAGCTTTTGTTGATTCACTTTTGCACCCTTGTTCTGATCTGCTGCCTTTTATTTCTTTAGAAAAATTAAACTTCAAGTGTTTATAATACATGGACCGCTAGCCAGGTGAGAAGATTCCCTAGCACCTGAGTGGCCTTCTCTAGCACACTTCTTTGTGAATCCAAGTAAGTTCAGGAAAGAAGTTAGGACTTTCAAGTTCCAGATCTAGCTCTTGTTCCATGAGCTAGTATAGTAAGAGAAAGGCTCCAGTTTCCACGAACAGTACCGTGGGCATGCGTTCAGCACTCATGACCTTAACAGACAGAGACATGGGGCCTGTGACAGAATAATCCACAGCAGTTGTGCAAACTGAAATACACTTAGAACTGAGTCACCAAATCAAAAACTGAATCTGCTGCTGTTGATTTGATTCCTATTCACAGAGATCCTATAAGACAGTAGAACTGCCCCCATAGGGTTTCCAAGGAGTGGCTGGTGGATTCATACTGCCAGTCTTTTGATTAGCAGCCAAGTTCTTAACCACTGCGCCACCAGGGCTCCTAAGAACTGAGCCAAGTGTTCCACAAATACTCATAGTACAGACTGCGTTCCTCCCCTAAAGTCAACGTCCAGCCCAAGGTGTGCTCCTGAAAGCAGCCACCAGAGCACAGGTGGCCATATGGGAAAGTGTCAGTGGACTCATCTCCTTGGTAATGCCTTTTCCAAGTTGTGTGCAACTGAGCATGTGCCAGGCCAGCTGATGTCAGTGACTGATCTCCTAAGTTAGATTTTTCTCCACTACATAATGAGTATGGCTCATTCATACTCTTCACTGAAACACTCCCAGAACTCAGTTGGACTTTCATCCCAGTATCTGCAGGCAGGGTGTGAACTTGGGACCCATTAGAAATGGGAAGGCTGATGATGTGCAGCCCTCTGGAATTTAGTTTTCTTGGATGAGGAGTGGGAGGTGTTAGGGAAAAAATTCTGATCAACAATGTTTCAAAGGATTCCAAAGACCAGATGAGTTGGAAAGGAGCTGAGCCATTGAGTAAATGCCCCTGATGCCAGGTAAGGTGGGAAGAGAAGGAGACTGAGTTCTTCTGGGGTGGGAACTCCAAGGGTCTTTGTTAATGGAGAGGGGCTACAGATAGAGCGAAGCAGGTAGAACCTGGGAGCTGCCCCTGATAGCTTCTTCTTAGGTGTTCTTTCTCTTCCCCAAAACTTGGGGCTGGGCTGAGAAGGTACTTCTGCTGCAAATTAAAAGGAGATAAAGGAAGCAGGCAGCTCAATGATAGTGAGAAGGTCAAATACATTCTTATAGGGAATGAAAGAGAGGAGTTTGAATCACACTGATCTGACCTTGCCACCCACATCCCCCAGATAAATGCTAGTCATTAGCTCATCCGAGTATTTAGCCTCCTTTCTTCACTGCTACTGGGGACAACCTTGAGATCCTAAACTGATGAACAAAGGAAGAAATGATTGCAAGATGATGCCATGCGATCTGGAAAGCCAATCCAGAGATCCGATCTTTTTCAAGTTAAGAGCTTGGGCTGACCTAAGAACCTGCTGAGAGTTCCTCATCCCTACTTGGCTGGCATGCCGATCCCTTGCATTTACCTATACCCCAGCGGGCAAGACACACAGCGTCTGGAGCCATTGCCCTGGTACTGTCCTCTGCTTTCTCCCATTTGTCCCTTCCTCACCCCCTCACTTCCTCTGCCACGTACCTTCCTCAGTTAGTAAAGTGTCCAGCCCTGGGCGAGTAAGGGCCCCTTTCTGATGGCAGCGGACCCCCAAATAACAGGTTTGATTATTTCCCTTCTGGAAATAAGCCAGAAGATTCTATCTAACCCCTGCCATCCCAGTAGAGGTATCCATGTGCAGTTAGGGGCTGGGAGAGTGTGGTTAGTTGGCAACACCCAGATGACTGACTTAAGTGGATTTATTATTCTGTTTGCTTAGGTGATAAACACTTCTGGTAGTTACCTGGGGTTAGCCAAAGTCCCCAAAAGTTCCTTCCCCTTCAGCTAAGAGATTTGTTTACATACTCCCCCAAGTTTACAATTAGTTGCATTTACCCACTCACTGTTGTCCTTTCTGTGAAGAGCTGTGCTTGAAAGAGAGAGATGAGTCCGCTCTTCCCCTGCTGCTTTCATAATGCCTGTTTTGTTCGCTGGAGATGAACTCTTCCAGGGAGCCAAGGGCTGCTGCTTGTTCCACTCTGTGCCACATACCCCGGGAGTGCTTATCTCCTTGTTATCTCAGTACCTGGGTCTTATGGCCTGGGAAGTGATCCCACAGCCCAGAAGAGTCCTCCCTCACCCTGCTCGGCTACATGGGAGGCGTCCACCTTCTGTTTCTTTTGTGCTGCCCATGTCTTCTTCCAAGGAGCACTGGTGGCACAACGGTTGAAGTGCTCGGCTGCTAAACAAAAGGCTGGTGGCTCCGTGAGAGGAAACACCTGGCGATGTACTCCTGTTGCCATCGAGTCAGTTCCAATTCATAGTGACCCTATAGCAATGCTAGAGGATGGAGCAGAACTGCCCCATAGGGTTTCCAAGGCTGTAGATCTTTCAGAAGTAGACTATAGATTGGCTGGTGGGTTCGAACCACCAACCTTTCATTTAGCAGCTGAGCACTTTAACCACTGCGCAATCAGGGCTCCTCATAAAGATTACAGCCTACGAAACCCTATGGGGCAGTTCTACCCTGTCTTATAGGGTTGCTACGAGTTGGAATCAACTCGATGGCACACAACAACAACATGTCTTCTTCCTGTGTGTTGGACCTGTCTGAATGCATCTTTCTGGACCAAGGGGGGCCTCCGGCTTTAAGAAAAATGGTTCTTTTGGCACCAAGTAGATTTGCCTCCCTGTCCAGTGATGTCTGCAGAAGAGCAGAGGTGGAGAATGATGATGGTGCTGCAGAGAGGGCAGCGCCATGCGGCAGAGCCAGCTGCTTCCCAGCCCGCTACACTTGCCAGGTGATCATGATTTATTCTTCTCTCATCAACAGATAAGCCTTAAGAGAATGGTTCAGAAAATCTTCAGGACTGCAGAAATTATTGCCAGTCCTTACTCCACTTACCAGTGTGGGGCAAAGATGTATTTGACAGGAGGGAGCCTGAGGACATACGGTATATGGCGCTGTGGGTGATGTACTCTCAGCTGTCGACCCACTGATTCCTTCAACAAAGGCTTATTCGCCTCGCGACTGGCTGGGCAGGACTATGAGGTTCCCAGACTCCCTGGCAGGTCCTTGCAATGGCCATTTCACCCAGCCTCT